GAGAAGTTCAGATTGATAACTCCCAGAAGTTCACGTACTACACGGTGTGTATTTTGTATTAAAAATGAATAAAAAGCAAAGACTAAAAGTTTATTGTTATAAGTTCAAGTCCTCCGTCGGAGAAAGTTAAAAAATTATTGTGAGAGTGGTTTGTACAAAGGAATATCATTTGTGTAACACTAACGAATGGATGAGAAAATTACAAATGAAAATACGTCACAGAAGTTCAACATGAAAAAGCAGGAAATTCAACTACTACAGTGAATGAATTTTAGATGAAGAACTTTTAAAATCGTCGCGAGTATGAAAAAATGATCAACGTGGGAAATTTGCGTGTTTACAACAGCTTTCCATCGGTATATCACTTGCTCAAATCTAGTGAGTGTTCCAGTGAGTGGATGGAGAGCTACGAGCAAAAAAAGCACGTGAAAAACAGAGTGAAGTTCAAGTAAACATGCCGAGAAGTTCAAGTTCTTCACGCGATGCATTTTTGAAAAATCTGTTTCGCGATAAAGGTAGAACGAATGATCCTTCCATTTTCAAAATTACTTGAAAACGGCTAGGAATCAGAGAAAATCATCAACATGAAGAAGTTTCGCATTTTCCTTAGCTTTTCAACGATATATTATTGCCCCCATTCGAATAAAAGTTGTAAAAATTACAGCAAAAATAAGTTTTTAGCCATTTTCAAAATTGACATAAAACCGTAATGAATTGGGAGAAATAATATATACCAAAATGTTTCAAATTTCCTCAAGATTTACAACGCCATATCATTTGCTGCATTTGGACCTAAGATTAAAAAATCAGCTCAAAAATACGAACTCGGTGGAACTTGTACTGTTTTCTAAATTACTTTTAAACCGTTCAAAATTAGAAAAACTTTCAACAAGAGAAATTAGCGCATTTTAATAAGCTTTCCAACGCCACATCATTCGCCTCAATTGGATTAGCCATTTAAAAATGACATCGAAAATACGAACTCGGTTGTTCGGTTTGCGAAATTTTACAATTTTCCAAATTACTCTTTAACCATAAAGAACTAGAGAAAACTTTCAACATGTGGAAGGAGCGGTTTTACAGCAGCTTTCCAACGCCATATTATTTGCCTCATTCCAATTAATAGTTTAGAAATGTGATCGAAAATACGATTCACATTTTTTGTATGAAGAAAAAACGGTTTTTAAAACTGCTCTTAAACTGCTTACATTTTGCAAAAAAATATATACCTTGAGTCATGATACTGATGTCCATAGCTTTCCAACGGTATATCGCAAGCCCCATTTAGACAATGTTGACGGAAGTTCAACCTAGCACTGGGAGAAGTTCAGGTCGAACAACTCAGGCAGTAAAATTGCAAAAAGCGCAATTTCATCACAACCCGAGAGCAAAATCCGCCAACGAGCGAGATTCCTATTCAAAACAGGTATTTAGTTGCTAAAAAATGTTTCTAGATTACACTAACATCATATAGAACACAATTAACTAGAATAATTCGTACGGGGAGACACGGTTGCGAAGATAGCCCGAAGGTCGGGTATATATACTGACCTTTAGTCCCGGTTGCAGCCACCAACCGGGACTAAAGGGGCTGCGCTAGGATGGAGGCCCTTTAGTCCCGGTTCGTGTCTGGAACCGGGACTAAAGGGGTCAGACGAACCGGGGCTAGTGCCTGCCGAGGCCCGGCCGGTGCCTTGGCCGCTCGAACTGGGACTGATGCACCCACTAGTCCCGGTTCATAGCTTGACCGGGTCTAAAGCTCTAATCTGGCCAGGACCAAAGCACTATTTTCTACTAGTGCCCCCAGGAGGGAGAATGGCATCAAAGTCTCCGTCATCATCCGGTCTAGGGGACCCCCAGATCTAGCGTTTCCCCCGAAACAGCTGCCACCTTGAGGAAACGGGGCATGCCATTTGCCACATAGCTCCTCAGCCAAGCGGTGCCAACCACCACATAGCTCTCATAACGACGCCTTCAAGAAGGATACGACGCCATGAGAGCCATCACTGCTAGGGTTTCGACCGAGAGACCATGAGGTAGGAAAAGGTAGGGCGGACCCGAATGACGTCTCTTGGAAGAAAAATGGCACCCCCGGGCGTCGTCACTGTCGTGGCCGATAGGAGCCGACCAGGGAATTATTCCAATCCGGATCCCCCCCCCCCACCCCCCCGGTGCTCCATCCCATCCCGGTGCCTGGCTAGTAGCATGGCCATGTCCGGTAAGACGGAGTGCACACAGCATGGGTTGGAGGAAAAAGCAGCGCGGCGCCGTTGGCCGCCAAGGCAGCAAGCCGCGTCACCAACCCATCGGTGAATCACCGGCCACCCGATCTGATCCCCGGCAGCACACCTGCCCCGCCGCGCCACCGGATAGGGCTGCTATCCCAGGGGTTGCCGCCCCTGATCCTAGGCACTGCCACCCCTGATCCAGGGCCCTCCGCCCCAGATCAAGAAGGGTACGTAGTGCTAGCCCTGCCGCCATGACTACCGCTGGGACGACGGCCAGCCATCGCATCACCATTGTCCAGATCAGAGCGCCTTAGTCCAGATCGGCGCTGCCGCGATCCATATCGAGACCACACCCTCGTGCCAGGGCGCCCCGCACCACCCTAGGCTCGCGAGAGGGAGCAATACCTTCGTCGCCGCCGCTGGACGCATTGGTATTTCCTAGCGCCGACCTCCGTCGGCGAGGGAGGGGGGTACCGGTGGCTGGGGTTGGGGCCCCTC